GAGGAGAGACCCATCGTTGCATCTAGATAGCAGCTTGCTAGCTTTTAAGATCCCAGTTGCCACTCACCAAAGTAGGAGGTGGAACAATGTTTTGTATAGTATGTTGTGCAATTGAAGACTACGAATCTTTATGGAAGCAGACTGCCATGTCTTCTGCAGAGTGGCTAGTGATTTTAAACGACTGACTTTTCAGTTCACAGCTGAGCATCTAATCACTGCACCACCAGGGTTGCTTGCTTAACTGATAACAAGACCCTATTTCTAAACAAGGTCGCTGTTCACATATGCTAAGGGGTACGATTTCAACATATCTTTGTAGGGGATACAATTCAATCCATAATACATGCCATTGATTCTGGAATTCTTGAGCCTCTCCTCTGCATTAGGCTACACTCCAGATTAAAATCCCTCCAAAAAATACTATAAAGTCAAAGGAACACAGCAACTTAAGAAAATAGTCCTAGAACTATGAAAACTGAGTGAACTCAGTGTGGTAACAGGACCTAGCATGAGATGGCAGGGACCTGGCTTTCTGTGGTTCTCCTAGGTTTGTTCTCAGTTGATTGTCCCTGTAGCTACTTTTTCCAATTCTGTATTCTCTCCTCCTAGAATCAAAGCCATGTGCTCTCCCCACTTTCCCTAGGCAGTCCACGACCCTCATCCCAGCCCCACTATTCTCAGTACCTTTCTATATCCCAAGCCTGTGCCCTTGACCCCATTCCTCTATTGCCCTTCTGTTCAGTCTGTTCTACCATGAACCCCTTACACTCACTTCCTGCTTTCTCTATCACTGCACTAGCACATGGCATTATTTTATGCCCATAATTTTTCAGAAGTAACAGCCATCTAGGGTCTGCCATAAGAGCAAGAATGAAGAAAGTGAGAAGAAACAGGAAGGAGGAACTAATAGTGTCAGGAGTTCCAAGGCAGACCGAGTGCATGGTGATCAGAATGATTTAGTTTTAGAGAGCCCATAAGTAGTAGTTGAATCACAAAGATGAATCTGAGAGAGAAAAGAGAGATAAGAAGTGATAAGCTCAGGGAGAAAAGGGTTCGAAAAGTTCAAAGTGACAGCCTGGTTTCTGTTTGAATCTTACTGAACCAAAAGATATGCTAGTTCCATCAAGAGATTGAATAAGCAAGTTGGAAGGGAAGATTGCTGGGCAAACAATGAGCTTGGTTTTACACATAGTGAATTGTGACACTTGGCCTCCCAATTAAAGATGTGATAGAGACTTTAAAGGAATGAAAGCCCACACACAGAAGGTGAAAACAGAGAAAAAAAATGTCAGAGCATTCCACAGAGGGAGAGAAGAGCTAGGAGTCTGAAGGAACAGACACAGATGGGCCTGAAATAGGGGCTGTCCCCAGGGAGGAAGGTGGTGGCACCTCCTGTCACAGTGAGGATCTGCAGTGGCAAGAAGTAGTGAGGTTCTGGCATCTTGGGCACATTTTTGCCACTGCAGCAGCCCTGAAGCTGAAGTACTGGGTTGTTGTTTTGTTGTTGTTGTTGTTGTTGTTGTTTTCCCAGGGCTTATACCATTTTATCAGCATAAGACCAAACCTCACCATGTACCTAAGATGGCTCTGCACCCAGTCATTTGGTTATTCTAAGAAATTCTAGAATCCTGATTCTTTCTTTAGATTTTTGCAGGTCCTATGAGTAAAAACAAAATTTTTTTAAAAAAAGTTATTTCCTATTCTACATTTACTGAGTATCAGTAGTATTCAGTACAGAAGTGTTTTTCACTGATGTGCTATGACGGTTTTAATTATATGCTGTGTTGGGTTTCAGACAGTGGAGAACTGTGTGTGCACCCTGAGGAACCTGTCCTATCGGCTGGAACTGGAAGTCCCTCAGGCCCGGCTGCTGGGACTAAATGAATTGGATGACTTACTAGGAAAAGAGTCTCCCAGCAAAGACTCAGAGCCAAGCTGCTGGGGGAAGAAGAAGAAAAAGAAAAAGAGGACACCACAAGAGGATCAAGTTAGCATTTTATTTGACATGAAACTAGAGTTTCATTTTTATAGGAGTAAGAAAGCACATATTTGGCAACAAAAATTTTTCTCTGGATACAGTTTTTCTGCATATCTATAGCTGAGTCCAGCAAAGATGAATACTTTCAAGTGTTAAAAGAGCATGTTCATTTTGCTTCCATTTAATATTTTCTATTTGTCTTTCAGTGGGATGGAGTTGGTCCTATCCCGGGGCTGTCAAAGTCCCCAAAAGGGGTTGAAATGCTATGGCATCCATCGGTGGTAAAACCATATCTGACCCTCTTAGCTGAAAGCTCCAACCCAGCCACCTTGGAAGGCTCTGCTGGCTCCCTCCAGAACCTCTCTGCTGGCAACTGGAAGGTAGGATATCTGCCACTTGTCCACACTTCTTGCCAACTTTGCAGCCAGTCAGAGGAGCAATGATGGTGCAAGGGGCATGGTTGTTTAGAGTTTGTCTGCGAAAGGGTGGTAGAGCTTAAATAAAAAGGAAGGAGAATAGCTATTGGCTCTGGGGAGCCAAAGATAAATACAACATATTCCCTCTCTCTCAGATACTTGAAGCCTAGTGAGAAAAATAGATAGTGTCAATATTGTGTAGGATCTACAGGACCTCTGTGCTGTAGGATCTTAAAAAAGGATATCTAAGCCAGCCTAGCAGGATGAAGAACTGGCCAGAAAAGAGGAAGCAAGGAGATAAGGGAAGAGTTCCTGTAGGGGTAGTGCTGCCCAAATGGAATCTGAAAGGATGAGTGAAATTAATTCAGCAGTTGGGGTTTGAGGAGCATACCTGATCGAAGGAACACCAAGAGAAAGACCTTGACGTGAGAAAAAGACAGTAGGTCTGTGACTGTAGGTGCCCAGGGTTGCCAGGGCATAGAGGGCAGAGCAAGGGGTAGCCCAGGTAGGAGCCAGGCAAGTCCTGAAGAGACTTGAGCTACAGACAAGAGGGGCCACTGTAAATTTAAGCAGGCAAGTGGCATGGGCAGGCTGATGTGCACACTGTTGGATCACTTCTGTGGCAGTGCAGAAGGAGAATTCAAGGAAGAGAACAGTAGAGACTGGAATTCCATTTTGGATTCAGTGCAGTATTCAGACAAGAGATGTTGAGGGCCCAGATTAGAGCGGAAGTGAGTCAGCACTGTCCCTCTCAGTTACTGTACATACGTATGTCTGAAATACCCGTATCTCCTTGTAGAGAGGTGACTTCTTTTGCTGCTTTAGACAGTATGAAAATTGCCAGAGGTTTCCTTTTGTTGCTACTATAAGCAAGTTCTCAAAACTTTTTAAACATTATATAGCAATTTCCCAGGTAGTCCTTTGATGAAACATTTTCTACTCCTAGAAATTTCTGTGTACTTTAGTGGCGATAATGCAATGTTTGTTTTTGGCTGCTCTCCCATCATGATCCCCAAAATGAGAATCTTTGGCCACTCTATTATCCATGCTAGTGAAAAGCTTTGATAGGCCAAGTCTGTTTCATGTAGGCAGCTGTTATACTGGTTATAAATAGATAATTATGTCTAATGCTAAGTCAGTATAGTTAATCTTTTTTTTCCTAATCAAAGTGCTAATAACTCAGTGGTTAGGCATTGGCTCGGAAGCCAGACTGTCTGGCTTTGAATCCTGACCCCTCTGCTTAGCAGTTGGGGAACTAGGGAGGAAAGTTACCTCTCTGTTCTCAGCTCCCTCATCTATAAAATGGGAATAATATTAGTACCTACTTCATGCGGCAACTGTGAGAATTAAATGAGATATTTAAATAAGGAGGCTCTCAGACAGTGCCTGGCACGTAAGTATCCGTGAATAGCTATGTTATAGACCCTGTGTTCACTTTCTGCTTCTTGTAACCAGAGGATCATTCCACAATAATAGTAAAACAAAAAGACAATAATAAACTAAATGTGATTTGAGTTGTTTAGAATTTCATTTCTGGAATCCTTTAGTGAATGAAAATTAGATGGTAAATTTTTGCCTTAAATATAAACATTATATTTCAGTGATTTCTAAAGTATATAAAATAGTTTTTCAAAATGTAGGCCCCTCATTAAGAAAACAAGATGATCATGGCCACAGATGTTATCAAATTCGAGGCTGTTTTGAGAGCCATGCTGACTGCAGTGCTCCAGGAGGGAGCTGCTCAGAGCCACGCTAAGCTGATTGGTCTCAGTGAGGACGCAGGAGTTCTGTTGCAAGCTTCATAAAGAGAAGCTGGAAAACCTGCCTAGTGCTTTACCACTGTTACAAGTCATGTAATGTATTTCTCCCTTCAGATTTCTTTTGATTTGGAAAATTTGTTTTATGTAAAGAATAAGATATTAAATTAAGTAGTCCATCATATTTTAATGTTCAGAATGAGGGATTGGGAGACCTTTGTACTCATGACTTGGCCACAGTAGGAAAGTATTAGATGCTTTATGAACAACATTTGTTAATTCTCCTAAATGTTGAAAGATGATTTGCATTGATGGAAACGTCAGTTAATGCTCAAAACAAGATTGAAGACGCATTTTCTAATGTTAAATTTGGTAGGGTTTTGTTTGTTTGTTTGTTTCACTGATGACTTGGAGCTCATTTCCAATTCACATGGTACACAAATTGACTCACTATATAGAATTGCCGCATAATCACAAAAGCATTTGACCCATCAGATTTTAAATAATCAGCTAACTAATATTGGGTGTGAAAGTATTTTGCTCACAAATACACTTACTTTTCTATTAGTGTCTGTGAGTTTTATTGCTCAGTGTTTCTGGAGAATTCCCTTTCTTCTGAGGCAAGGGTTTTTTTCCAAGTAATTTAGCAGATTACTAAAATCTAAATTTTGTTGCAAGGAATATAGAAAAGAATTACTTGGCAGAGACATGTATTTCTTTAATGTGTGCTGATTGGTTACCAACTCTGCCACCCTATTTTGAGCCTCTGGACCTGGCATGAGGCCAACTGCAAAGACAACACATGATCTTTCCTTAATCATGTTTATGTATCTGAGATAGAAAGTAATCACTACCTTCTCTTTTCTACACAAAAGTACCGGCAGATGGTGGCTTAAGATTTTCAGGCTTTGGGATTTTGCTTTTAGATCAATCATCCTATCCTTTCTCCCATTCTGTGATTGTCTCTTTATTGACATCATAGATTTAATCTCCAATTGGAGAGAAAACATTTACTTTATTCATCTTTTGCAAACTTCGTTTTTTAAGCTACAGTAACATAATGAAAGTTGAACTCTGTTTTCTGTACTATCGATTGCCTTATTTTCCTTACTAGTTTGCAGCATACATCCGGGCAGCCGTTAGAAAAGAAAAAGGACTCCCCATCCTTGTAGAACTTCTGAGAATGGATAACGATAGAGTTGTTTCCTCTGTGGCAACTGCCTTAAGGAATATGGCTCTGGATGTTCGCAATAAGGAGCTTATAGGTATGTCCTAGTGTTAAGGTGAACTGTAAAGAGAATAATTACAATATTTACAACACTCTTCTTTTGATTTATAAAAATTAAATGATGTTTAAAAGTATTTACAAGTGAGTCCTAGTCCCCAATTTCTTGGCATGTTTAGGTCCTTTGTGATCATTGTTTTTCAACAGGACACAAGTTTGCTAAATAAAACATTGATTGGGAAGGGCAAATATTGAGAAAAGCAAGTGATTTCAGTTATACTTTACAACAGTAGTTGTTAGATTTGATGTTTTTATGTCCAAAGAAATCCATCCTGGAAGAAGTGCAGCAGGAATGCTCCTTGGAAGTGAGAATGGCCAGACTTCGTCTCACCTATTTTGGTCGTGTGGTCAGAAGCGAACAGTTCCTAGAGGTTATCATGCTTGGTGAAGTGGAGGGTCAGAGGAAAAGGGGAGGACCATCAACGAGATGGATTGACACCATGGCTGCAACAGTGGGCTCAAGTGGAGCAGGCAGTCTTTCGTTCTGTTGTCCACAGGGTCGCTATGAGTTGGGATTGACTCAGCAGCACCTTGACAGCATGTCCAAAGAGAGGTGTATTTCCTGAACCACCAAAAAAAAAAAAAATTTCCTCTTTTTTTGAGACTGGTATCTGCTAATTCACAAACACTACCATGTTCTAAATTAAAACAGAAGGCCCATTAACGACTTCTAGTTTATTCCTGCTCAGACTCCTTGAAATGCTCACCCCAATATAGAACCACCTTCCCAAGGCCTTTTCCACCCCAGGGCAGGGTGGAGTAGGATGAGGCAAGTGATGCTTCAATGGCATAAAATTTAAGGAAACATTTGCTCTCGGGGTACAAGTGTAGGGTTGACGCTTGCTTAAGTCTGAGAGTGGGATCCCCCTTAAATTTTGCACCCTAGGCAGCTTGCAGTGCCTCACCATAGTCTTACCCAGGCACAGGGGCATTGTAATATCCCAAACAAGGTGTAGGGTAAAGAAATGATGAGGGACCTTCAAGTAGACCTTAGGTTAAGTCCCAAAACTGCTGTTTACAATCTGTATAATCTGGGGTATCCAGTTTAACCTCACCTGGGCTCAATTCCCTTATTTAGATTAAAAGTGAACGGAAACTCTTATTCAACCCCATCACTGACACTATGCTGATGATGCCTGCTATCCTAACCATGGGTTGACTGTGAAGATGAAATGAGAGAATATATGAAACACCCCTTTATAAACCACCAAGCACCACTAATCCCACTGTAGGGACCCTTATATCGTGGAAGTCCTGATGACAGGTTAAGGAAAAGGAATGGGGAACTTGACAAAATTTGATGTGGGTTGGTGTGAATATATGTTGAGCCTATGTAAAATACCCCTGCCATATGAGAGAGAGGAAAAGATTGAAAGAGAGAATAAGAGAGCAATAGTACTTACCTCAGAGAGTTGCTTTGAAAAGGAAAGCCCCTCGCACAATGCGTGACACAGAATTATCCCAGCAATAAAGCTCATTCCATTTCTGCTCCTAAACAGCAGAATAGCTCTTTTTAATTATTGCCTAGAATAACCTGCTCTTAACACAGCATTCCTTTGAGGCATATCTTCCTCTATGAAGAAGAAACAAGGCTGTCCTACTTCCTTTTCACAAATCAGCTTGTCCCTGCTTCAAATGGATGTGTTACAACTGTTAGTTCTAACACTTCCTTGAGAGAATTCCTGTAGGTTCCTAAAGAGAGATTTTTTAAAAATTATTTTTGATATATTTGATTTCTCAGGAGCGTATGAAATTTAGGAGTTGTTAATGCTAAAAAAAATAAATAAATGATTGGCAACATACATCTTTAGTCTGTCATTCCACAACTGGGAAAAGATACCAGGTGTTAAGAAGGTGTACGGCCAATATCATCGATTCTTGATATTCTCAGAAGCTTTACCCTGAGACCCTTAGGAGTCTTGGCTTTCTCTCAGTGCAGTCCTGTGTTTTTTATGAATATCCTAACCACCCTTTTAACTTTCACTAGGATTTTTTGTCTCCGTTAATGTACTTTTTTTTTTTTTACCCAGCTGGAGCATTCAAACTGTTTCATGAATCTTGTTTCTTGTTTCACTGTAAAGATTCCTTCCTCCCTATGAGATCTGAGTCCCTCCAAGATTCAGTATTTGAGTCTAATTTACCGAGCATTTCTGTTCCTAAGAACCGTCACCTTCCCTGACCCCTTCACGCTCTCCTCACTTCCATCACCAGCCCCTGCAGGGACCACAGGCAGGGTGAGCTGCCTGATCCCAAGCTTCAGGGTGTTCAATTTAAAGTTCTGGCTTAGCAAAATGACAGATTACATGTCATGGACCTTTTGGTCATTCATGAATATTCAAAATACCAGGACTAACATACCATCTCAGATCTCTGGGTGATGCACGCAGTTTGTGGTTAGCTTCTTAAACCCACTCAGCAGCAACCATGGAAGAAAGGCCTGGCAATCTGCTTCCACAAAGATTACAGCCAAGACTGGGATCTTAAAAGCTAGCAAGCTGCCATGTAGATGCAATGATGGGTCTCTCCTCATCAAGAGCAAAGA